ATGCTAAAACAGTGTAAATAACAAAATGTGATTTTGCTTAAGGGACCAATTTGAGATGTAAATCCTCCATCTTTGACTCTTTCAGTGAAGATTTAAGTGATGCAACATGATTCTACTTACGTTTATTGTTGCAGAGCAATGACACAGTCTTCTCACCGACACAAGATTCACTTTAAAAAGATGCAAAAACACAAATATAAAATATTATAGGCTGATCAAAAACATAGACTGTGGGTGTGACAAAACAGGTAGGCCATAAGATGAGGGAGTTTTCTATCTAAAAATTCCTACACCCTGATTCCGGGAGTGGGCGGGACTCTCTCTTATTTTAACTACTTCCTCTTGATTTTGTTAGTGCATGACAAATACAAGCGAGTATTGAAATCTTTTGAAAATAACTTTGTAAGTGGTTAAAATTACATGTGCAATTGTATCGCAGACCTTTTGTTCAATTTTGAACTATGCAGGTTTTGTTTCTCTATAGCAGTCAACCCGAAGATGAATTAATTAAATTCCCCGTAAACTCAAGCTTTATTTATGTCATGACTATTAACAGAGGGAGGGATAAGCGTTAGTTAGAGAGATCGTTGTATAGCTTGTAGCAGTGGGCGCGATATGCGGCAAGAAGAGAAGGTGAAAAACCATTCTGCAGACATACGAACACACTGTCAGTTGTTTGTTTAATAAATTCCACAAAATAAAACATTTTTTGACTCAAAATCACCCTGAAGTGGTTGAAAACATCCCCACAGTAGTGCTGCTCCCTATACGGTAGGTACGCAGTTTGCATAAGGCCCCAACTGCCAGAGGGGGCAGCATAATCCCATTTGCTCACATGAAAAAAAAAATTTGTAATTAAAAACTTTAATAGTTATGTATTAATAATAAAGTACTATTGTTATATGCATATATCTGCCTGTAAATTATGTAAATTATATTTACAATTTTTTTTTATTACAAAAAAGTTACATAAATACAAGCGTCTCGGCTTCTCATTTACACTTCCCGGTGCACCGTAAAAAGACTGCATAAGCTTTTCGCACAGTTGAAGGAGACTGTTCATATCTGTTAATGAACTTTTTAAAAACTCTTTTAACCCCTGGACGTTTAGATGACCTGTTAATCGTGATTTGAGGTTCCATTTCTCATTTTCTCTTGTGCTCAAAAAACTATTTACATTGCTAAAGTAAGTATTATTCACCATCAGAACCCAAAATTTAGGAATATTTTACTGAAGCAATTTTGAGGTAAATCTTCCTGAACTTGGCTTTTTTGGAGGAAAAACGCATTAAATTTGGGGAAACACAAAAAATGTATTTGGTACATTTGAGGTTCCATTTCTCATTTTCTGTTATAGATGCATTAAAAAACTCTCTACCTCATTTTAGTAAATATTTTAGACTGTCAGATTCCAAAATTTAAGAATATTTTACTGTAGAGATTTTGAGTTATTTCTTTCTGAACTTGGCTTTTTTGGAGGAGAAAAAGTGCATTTTGTGTGTTGTCAAAATTTTGGAGTACATTTCCTCTTAGGGCACCCAACAACACATAAGGGTTAAATTTCAAAACATCTCTTTGCACAAGTTTTGCCAAAATCAATGGAATAACACTTCATCTGTTACCTGGGTTTTAGTTCCAGTGAGCCATTGTTCACACTAACAGTAGTGAAAGGACCGTCTCCAAGAGCAATGCTGGGGAAAGAGGCATCTCCTGACCTAAAGACATCCACAATTATCAAATGAGACATTTGTCTGCATTTTTAATTTCTTATTTTTAATTTCTTTCTTTTGTCAACTCTTCAGCAGCGATCATAGGGCTCGAGCACTATGTCAAATCCTTATTTAGAAGATGTATTCAAAAATTGTTACAATTGCTGAACAATACAGGGAAATGAAATTATAACAACATCTCAAAGTGACATGACCCCAAGTTGGCGACAATGAGTCTTGTCGAAGATATCGTTTTGGCCAAGATTCTTGTCACAAATGTCAAAAATACCTAGTTAATGTAAAATGTTGCTCCCCTGTGGCCACCAGGTGAAGCTGTATATAACTAAGAGTGTATGTGGTAGAAGTGTTCAAACTTAGCAGGCATGGCACAGGTATGGCTGAGTTATAACAACTTCCTGTTTATACCAAATGTTGACTTTCGAAAGCCAGAATATTGTCCACAGAGATTAATGAAGTAATAAAGCTTTGTAATTTAACATCCCATATCCCTTAAAATAAACAAGGAGTTTGGAGGTGAAAAGATAAAGTGTCTAGGAGTTCGTCAAAGTATAAAGCCTGGAACTTCACAAATGTTAAAAGAAAATGTAAAATAACTTCCTGTTGGTTTTGGAAACTGTCTCCAATTGAATTTTTTTATAGGTCTGACATTAGTGTTCCAAATTTCAAACACAGTCTGAAATAGCAGGATAAAGTTGCAGAAAAATAAACATCCCATGTTGACACTAGGTGGCGCTATAACTTACACTCACTTACTATAAAGATTTGTTTACACATCGACTCTTATCATGGATGGCCAATTTAAACCCGATCGGACATTGGATGGCAGAGTTAGTAACAACTTCCTGTTGTGCGCACATTGTTTAACAACAACGTCAACAGCCAAAAAACACATCCGCAATGTAACATCCCATATATAAAAGTGGTAATTTTTTGCATCATAGCTCACTTCCTGTCGATTTTGGAAACACAATCCATATTACTTGTATTTAAGTCTTGGAACCCTACACGTGTGTGCCAAATTTTATGCAAACTGTTGATGCCCCATAAGCTGAAATGCATTAGTTGGCACACAATTGATGCACTCAATCAGAATTTTGAGACTTTTCGAGTATGTTTAGACCTTAAAAAATGCATTAAACAACAACATTCAGAGCAACTACAATAGGATTCTAGGCTCCTTTGGTGCTCGAGCCGTAGTAAGTATTGAAATCCTTTACTGGTTCATTTGTGGTTCCTATGTGGTTCCTTTTAAAGGAGAATGTCTGTATGATACACCTGAGAGCAAGAAATCAAGCCGTTTCAATACTTTTATACTGTGAGTGCAAATCAAAGTTTCAAAGACTTGAAAATGTATTTTCTATATTTCTTTCTGTTAAAAAACTAACAAATTGAATGACTGTCATTTCTTCTTTCAACAACCAACAACTTTTAATTTAAAATATATATTTATTTCATTACATACCTGTAGCCCAAGTAGCGGCAGAAGAAGTCTGAGAAGTGAGAGTTCCAATCAGAAGCACACACCGTGTAAAGATTATTCTGAACTTGAAGTTTGAGTCGTTCGGTTCCAGTGGTGTTTTCTTTTATCAGGTGCACTAAACACACAACAGAGCCAGAGCCAAAAACGTCATGCCAGCATTTCCAGAAATCATCCGAGCATAAATACTGTAGTCTTACCACAGTCAGCTTCGTCAAAGCCGTTCGGGCAGTTTTTCATTCCGTCACACACCTTGCTGTTGGCCACACAAGCTCCAGTGCCACACTGAAACTCCCCCGTTGGACAAGGTTCTGCATATTGATTTGAAACAGTCAGAGAATATCATGTCATGTATGTCTTGATGTTCTAAGTAGACATCATACCTGGCTGACCAAGGTTAATGCCTGTCTTAAATTCTGCTGAAAAGCCTCGTTTATTCAATGATCGGCCCGTGAAAAACATGACCGTCATCTGAGAACTCGTGGAAAAAAATTCTTGGGACATCTCACCAGTAAGGACACCTAGAGTTAAAAATAAAAAGGTATTTTATCAATAAAACCAGTATAAACTCACACGAGTCAGAAGAGATTTGGCGATTTAAAACAATTTTCTTCACCAGTCTTTGATCAAATTATGAAATCAAGAATGCGGTCATATATGGAAAAATACTTCAAGCCTTAAATAACATAAAGATTCGACTCTGATTTATCTCCCATAGCCTGTGTGATTCATTTAAGTTCATAAAATGCTTGAGTTAATCAAACCTCACTGAAAAAAGTGAGACCAACCACCCAATCAAATGAAAAGAGAACAAATCTCTCAGTCAGAACTTACCAACCAAATCTGAAAAGGGCTCCAGCCCATCCCGAACTTCCAATACATCATTGGCCATCTGCAAATCAACATCTACAAAATTTAACTGGATATTTTTCCCTTCCTCAGCATGTAAAGTCCACAAGCCTGGTCAAAAAAACAAGAAAACAATGCATAAACTCAATAACCCGTCATTCTTCGTGGTATTTATGGTTAATGAGAAAATAAAAACATTAAGGTTGTAGTAGATGGAAGCTTTGAAAAACTCATAACAATGTAGTTTCATTCAGTTTCGACATGATCAATCAGCTTTGAGAGCCTGGTATGTTCAAAAAGAGTCAACCAAGGAATGCTGCAGAGGACTACAAAACTACAAAAACTACAAAAGAGTGTATTCATTCATTCATTCATTCATTCATTCATTCATTGTCCAACCCGTTTATTCCCTGTTTTGGGGTCACGAGGGTCTGCCGGTGCCTATCTACAGCACCGGGGAGAGGTGGGGGAACACCCTGGACAGGTCTCCAGTCTAACGCAGCAAAAGAGTGTAAGGTTTCTTCTTTTCTCAGCTGGAACTTTTTGGTTGGTTGATATAAGGAACTATTAGCATATTTTCACAGCACTTTAGGTATTAGTCTTGGGGGGTAATACCATTATATGATAAATCTGAAAATAGCGCCATAAAAACAAAGAACGTATAAAGGAGACAATGATTAAATATTACATATGATTTATTTACTACCTAAAAATGTGTATGCGTGGAAGGAAAGGCCCACAATGCTCATAAATCCCATAACGCATAGGAGTGTACGCTAAAAGGACCCCAACATCGGGTGAGCACAACAGCCGGCCTCTCATTGAGTCAAATCCCGGTTGTAGATGTCAGGGGTGCTGAGGGTCAGGGGTGCTGAGGCCACTGCCGAGCCGATCCGCCATTTTCGATGCAGGTCCACCACCTGATCTTTCAGCTGATCATCAGCTTTCCTGTGGCTCAGTTGGTAGAGCATTGCGCTAACAGCGCAAAAGTTGTGGGTTCAAATCCCAGGGAAAAGCAAGAACTAACAGAAAAAATATGTTCATTCAAATGTAAGTTGCTTTGGATAAAAGCGTCTGCCAAATGCATAAAATGTAAATGTAAAAAATTTTAAATGATCTCCCATCATGGTGACCTTATTTGGTCCTAGTCTTTCGGTAGGCGTTTGCTCCAAAAGATGCGTTCAATCTTCTGGGTTACTCAATGAAGAGGAAGCATTTGTCCCACTTAAAAGCCCTGAGCCTTGATGAGCGCCACCTGGCAACGCTGATTATACATTATTACTCACATGAAGCGTCGTTCCCGTAACCATGTGGGTAGTTTGGAGATTTGAACGTAGTGTTTGGTTCATACAGGTCAAATGGTCCACCACAGTCCTCTGTAATAAAACATTCAGACTGATCACATGATCTCAGTGGAAATCCAAAGCAGTTATGCTGAAAGTTTGTGATAGATTTGGAAATCACAGGATAGTTTTTAGATCGGGCCTTGCCTGGTGGATTGATGGTAGGAGGAACTGGTGTTGGCTCTGGAGGGGCCACCCCGCAGGGACCAGGAAGCATGCTGATGTCATCCAGTGCTATGTCATTTTCAACCCCTGATGACTTAAGTGCTTCAAACACCAGCTAAAAGGACAAACCAAAGGTGGGATTAATAACTAATGATTATATTATTTTACAAAAAAAAACTGTTAACAATGTGTTTTAATGAGGGGATTAAAGAATATAAGAATAAACCAATTTTTTACAAGTGAAATTAGAAGATTTTAAAATGATAGTCGCCCTGAAGAGTATTACAATGCTTTTGGAGCATCTGTGGGTTACTGTTAAAAATTGCTTTTATTTCCCACTACTGCTTTTAATTATCTTAATATACACTTTCATTGACGGATACTCTCCTTTAAAATAAGGGCTTCAAATGGGTCCGAAAATTAGTATTTCAGAAAAAGACTTGGGGTCTTATTTGTAAAAGAGTGAGTAGAATCGGGACTAAAACTAAACAAAGGTCAAATTTGCATGCTCAACAAAAAAAAAAAGGCTAAATCAGATTTATAGCCGTTCATAAGCACACCTGCAAGCAATCTTACTTTTATAAAATCACAGATGGGACGCAAATGTGCGCAGTTCAGTGTGTAAAGGTTTTACGCCTCGTCCACACCATATAAGGTCAATGCATGAATATTCAATTAAAGTTAGACGAGTGTTCCCTGCCTGTGTTTGGAAATTGTGAATTACGCCAGAGGTTGAAAAAAAAACACAGAATTTCTTGTAGGGGAGATGGAGACATTTGTCTTTTATTCTTTTTATGCCTTACTATTACACAGTGCTCTGTTTTTGTTCTCCTTGTGTACAGCACCTTGGGCCTTCTTGACTGGTGGTGGAAGGTGCTTTATAAATCAATAAAATAATAAAAAAATAACAAAAAGCAGTTGCCTCTGAAGTGCTGGACCCAATTCAACAGATAAATCCAAAAGAACCACTCTCAGGAATCTACATCGACTTATTAGCCACATTTCATCATTGCCTAAAAAACATTTTCTCCATATACGTCCATTTGTCAAGAACTTTTACATTTCTTTGAGTCTGTGAAATGTACTAAGTAGAAAAAGCTGTAAAACTTTTACAAACTAAAAACATGAACTTTAATTATTAATTAATTTATTTTTTTTTTTTGCTTATTTAGGCTGATTTATTTATTGTTCTTAATTGTCAGCATGTACAATATCTCACATGTGTACTTACCATTTAGTCTATAGATGCATTTGTTTGAAAAAAATAAAAAGTAACGCCAACAGTGCCATTCGGTAACTTCAAGGCACAAGGGTGAAGGAAGTCTTTATACATTTAGCAATCACAATTATTCTCAACACTTTGTCAACTTAACAATTAGAAATACTTCTCACCCAAATTATGTTTTTCATAGTATGTTTTATTAGTATTTGTGGTTTTATTTATCAAATTCACAGGCACTTTATTGCCTTATGCATTTTTTAAAATGTCATATTCAAGACTGGTTTGATATAAGGTGTGATTTCTAAGTTCTAGAAAGATCTTTTTTAACAAAAATCTGCTTTTTAAATTTAAAGGTCAAATTCTTAAGGTCACTAATACCTCACATATCCACAGTATGTAAAAAAAAAATACGTACACACATTTCATATTCTACGTAAAGATAAGCAAAAGTTGTGTTTTATAAATCTGAAACACTTTTTGGACCAGTTTTGTACGTTCATAACCTTTATAAATGAGACCCCAGGCCACTTCCACCGAATCTTGCGGAGCTACATTTCTCCAGAACATAGGATTATGCTCATAAGTTTACACACCATTTGATTTCTTGGCCATTTTGCAGTTCCATTATTTCCACTTATAGGTAATAGTTGGGTAAAGTCATTTACTGTCAAACAACTGTGTTTCCTATTTTTAAATCATAATGACAACAGAAACTTTCCAAATGACCCTGATCTAAAGTTTGTGATTTTAGCCTGACACATAAGGGGTTTGAGTGGCTGGTAAAGGTAACCATCCTCACCTCGATCTGTGTGCTTGTAGTTATTGATGTTTGGCAATGATGCATCATTCACTCATGTTTTAAAAGAAAGCTAGTCTAGGTGGAAAGCTATGGTATCATGCAGTTTCCACATATATACGACATAAAATTTCACAATTACAAAAACTGACGAAGTGGCAACACATCAGGATATTTACCACTGAGCCGAATCCTGCTCCAATTGCTTTTAATGAGTGTCATCAGCCCCTGAGGCCCCATCCTCCTCGGACACAGGTTATACTCCCAGGGTTTTGTTTATGTATTAGTGCGCGCAGGCCCTTCGGCGACCTTCCTATTTGTTCGCAATTCTGTTTCGGGAATGCACAGCATCCAATGCGAGCAGACAGTTCAAACTACCAATCATCGCAGTTTGCGTCACGTAAAGGAGAAGTTTCTTACCAGCGATTCATAAAAGGATTCATTCATCATTTATCTTGTCAAAAATAAAAATAAAACATGATTAAAGTGTTTGTTGACCTCGGATGCCTTTCAACCTGTTGCTCAAAAATCAAATAATCAACTTTTCAAAATGATGATATGGGCTCTTTAAAAAGTGGAAAGTGATGGATTCTGTTGAAACCAGGTAGAGCAACATAATTACTGCTACAACTGCCCAAAAAATAGTGATAGTAGACTGTGCTCCTGTTTCAAGGAGCACAATCAGCAGACATTTGGGTTGCATGGTCGAGTTGCTACAAGAAAGCCATTACTATGTAAAATGCCACATTGTAGCCTCTTGACAAGCCTCTGAACTACTTCAACAAAATGTAACTTTTTGGCCACAACCATTCATGCAACACAGCCCAAAAATTTACAAGAGTTGAAGGGTTTTTGCCAAGAAGAATAGGCTGCTTTACTAACAAAGAAGATAAAGAACCTACCGGTAATCGACAACGACCTCAAGAGACTCCATCATTGATGTTAAAGGGGGAAATACAAAATATTCAGAGCTGGGGTGTGTAAACTTTTCATAAGGTTCAGTTTCTGTTGTCATTATGATTTAAAAAAACTAAACTCATCTAGTTTTTGTGTTTTCATATTTTCCAAAAAATAGTCATGAAATCAAACATTTTGCCAGGGTGTGTAAACTATTAAAACACAACTGCATGTATTACCATCTTTAAAATTAGGGCTCAAAATTACTTCTGTTCATTCTAAAGAAATAAACATTTAATTCATGGATTTTTTGCACTGACCACAGTCTCTGCAGTGATGTTTACTGTGGCTTGACCATAGTTCCAGTTGTCGCCATAGTTCCCTTCTTTCAGAAGGAGGATGGTGATGGATGACCCTTGTTCACTAAAGACAGTCAGACGCTGAACGTGCTCTCCATACATGTGGTACCTAACGGAGAACATGCAAAAACAACTCTCATTGTTGATGATATCTACTAGCCAAATATATTAATGTCCCTTTAGGCGCAAACTGAATTTAATTGTTGTTTTATTCTTGCCACAAATTAATTTTGTCATGACTCTTAGAAGTCTCTACACACAACAGTGCGTTTGCCAATCTCAGGGGCGCTTTTGCATTTAATAGGAATGATACAACCCAGCAATTTTTTTATTTTAATTTTAAATGATTAGTTTTGATATTTTTGGATTTAGATGAACATCACAAGAGATATGACATCATTTGCAAGGTAATTAAAATTCAGTTTCATTTTACCAAAAGTAGTTCTAGTGGTGAAAAGAACAGATAATTCCTTGAAAGTACAATATCTGTGATATGGCTTGTGTTTTGGCACAAAAAAAGCACAATGGCATAAAAAGTGCTTGTAACAGTGAATATGGTTTAAGAGAGGTTTGTGTGGCTTTTTGATACAATTTTCACATGGTTTTGATTTTGTCCTTGATTTTTGGGGGATTTATGAGTTTTTATTTGTCTCAACACTTTTGACTTTTTGTTACACAACATATAAACTGTTCGCTCTCAATATAAGCCTTGTATTATGATATTTACAGTTTCAGGTTTGTTGTGGACTTGTTGTGGACTTATTGCGTAATGTAATTAAGAATTTCTAAAAAAAAAAAGCAGCTGCCGTCGTCCTAAAAAACTGATAACAGCCAATGCCATCCACTCAGGGGTATTTTAAAGGGAGACCAAATTGTAGTAAAAGAAATAAAAATGCTCAAAAAGGGCCCCAGACTTCTAAACGATTATACATGCAATGATAATTTGCTCAAAACAGCTCAATAAATATATGTATTAATACTGGTACTAGTACTACTACTACTACTAATAATTATACATTTTATTTACAGGAACCTTTCTGGACTGAACAAGTATCAGGATAACTGGTCAATATACAATGGTACAATAACAAAAACAGAGAAATGCAAATGACAAAACATTTTCCTGTATTTAAATATCTCTTAGTAGACAAAGAAAATTAATTGAAATTTAGTTTTTTTCATAAAAGTTAAATGATAATGAACTTTAATTTAATGGTATGTCAGAGCCTATGG